ACCCTGTATATGTAATACATATAAAAGTATTGTTATTTTTGATCGTATTTTTAAATAAAGTTGAACAAACACAACTATTACATAACATTTTTATAAAGATCATTGAATAAAAGAAGCTAAGAGGCTTGACTGGGTGTTAGTGTTAGAAGATAAAAATTTGTTTATTTAAATATAAAAATTAACAGACGTTTCGGTCTTTCTTTAGACCATCCTCAGTGTATAAAAGACAAGAAGTAAAAGAAAATGAAAATAATTTAGATGTAAATGTCAATGATTAAAAATTCGCTCGCAACGCAATCTACATATAAAAGTGTAAAGTGTAGTCGTATTCGGATTTCTAAAATCAAAAGAGGGAGTAATGAGAAAAGACCTCGTTACATTGTAAAATTGTATAAAAATATGGAATGCTGTACATACACGACTGCCGATCGAGAGGTTATCTTTTCGTCGAGAAGTATTGGAGTTAACCTGGTAAATGTCGACTCTTTTGTTCATTTTTTAGAAATCCGAATACGGCTCACATTTAATATCCTTTATGTATTGCGTTTCGAGCGTTTTTAACTTTTGACTTTTATATTTAAATTATTTTCTTATACTCTATTTATTTTTTATATACAATGAGGATGGTCTAAAGAAAGACCGAAACGTTTGTAATTTTTATGGTTTAAATATACGAAACTTTTAATATTGTGACACTAACACCTAGTCAAGGCTCTTAGCCCATTTATTCATTGATTTTAGACAAATAAATATCAATTGTTTGGTTAAGATAAAAAATATAAATAAAAAATATAATAGAAATAAATAGAAAGGTGCAAATTGTAAATTTGCACATTGCTTCCTCATAATCTGGACGGGTTGATTTTCAATTTGGAGGTCCAAACCAATTTGCACCTTGAACCATTGGAAATAGGCGAGAGAGGTGAAAGTAGGATTCGCGAGAGTAAAGAGAGGGTTGAATGGAGAAAATGGGAGGAAATGGAGAGGGAGCTGGGAAGGAAAAGGAAGGGAGAGAAGAGGATAGAAGGGGGAACAGGGAGGGGGATTGAAGGAAGACAGAACCTTTGGATAAGTTAAGAAGGGAATAAAGAGAAATTCAGAGGGCGGAGAAAGGAGAAAGGAAGGAAAATACTAATGTGGAATGTAGCCAGGTTAAGAAAACAGGATAGGGATTTCTGGAAATATGTAGAAAGTTTTGATTTTGTTAGCTTATGCAAAACGTGGATAGAGGAGAAAGGATGTAAAAGAATATAGAGTAAAATGCCTGACGCGCATGAGTGGTCATGAATTTTTGCCACAAGGGAAAAGAAGAAAGGAAGAGCAAAAGGGGGTTTTATAATAGGCAAAAGGAGGGACTGAGGAGGAGTAGATAGAAAAAAATAGGGCAAATAAAAGGGAATAGGATAGTCGTATTTGAAATAAAAGGTAAAATAAAAAAGAATAACATAAGAATAATATCGATTTACAACTCAGGAAACTGGAAGAAAATACAGGATATAATAAAAAGGGTAATGGAGGAAGGAAGGGAGGAATATGTAATAATAAGAGGGGATTTTAACATAAGGATAGGAGAGGAAGGAGGAAATGAAGAGGAAGACGGGGAAAAGGAATAGTAAAAACAAAGTGACAGGAAATAGAGAGAAGGAATTATTGAAGACGGTTAAGCTTTGTTGGAAAGAAAAAGAGAACGAGAGCTGGATAGAGTAATATAGTAAGGAAAGAGAAGGATGTTATAGTAGGAATGAATGGGGAATCTAAGTAATGGACGATAGGGAAAAAGATGGAGGAAAATTGATCAAGGAATTAGTAAAGAGTGAAAAAGAAGTGCAATGACAACCAGAGGAGAGCAGAATTAGACAGGCAATATACTCGTACAATGCGAGATATAAAGAAATAGCAAAGGCAGGGGAGAGTCCGAGATATTTGGAGAGAAAGTGTTTAAAAGGAATAAGAAATAGGGATAAAGTTAGGGCGTTAGCAAAGCTAAGATGTGGAAATATAGAGGAAGCGAATAAATACTAGATAGAGGAAGCGAAAAAGATATATGTTTTCTGCGGAAAAGGTCAAAATTGTATAAGTCACTTTGGGGAGGAATGTGAAATAACAGAGGAATGCTTTAGAGAACTAGAAAAGAATAATAGAGGAATAATAGATAGGATATGGAATGATGAATTAGACAGAGAAAAAGGAAAGGTACTTTGGAAGTTATGGAAGGAAAAAATCAGAAAAGTAGATGAGAAGAAGAAGGAGAGGTAGGAATAAGGGTAGAAAGGAAACAAAGATAGAAAGAGAACTAGGCTGCAAATAGGAAGACGAGATGCGATCAGATAAAATAGGTTATAAGGATAGAATAGGATAATATAAGGTATAGAGGTATGAATGAGAAGGCGTTGTGTGGATGGACATACGTGCAATTGTAAATCAAGTCCCACTTCTTGACTGTAAAGTTGAAGTAAATAAACGATATACAGGGTGTCTGATGCAAAAGTAGCCAACTTGAAAATAGTGGTAGATTGGGTTAAACTAAGGAGAAATGTCATGTGCCGCGGTACAAAAGTAACAATAGTTATCGAGTAATTAATTTACACGTTTGAGCGAATGAGGATGCAGGAGACGGTAGGCCGGACTCGGAAGGCATTTAAGAAAATCGATCGATGAGCGGGAGGTGGAGCGACGCGCGAGGTACATCGTGGTGGGAAAAAACCTAGGCGTGGCGGGGAGCGCGGCGCGGGCGGCGAGCGCGGCAGCGAGCGCGAGCGACGAGCGACCCGA